CCAGTAGGAAAATAAATTAACAATTGAATCGATTATGTTTTTTTATTGGAAAATGCAAGTAAATTTGAAAAAGACAAATAATGTTCAGTTGCATAACCTCATAATTGATGGTGCATTAAAAAATTGATCCATGTCTTACAGTAGTGAGAGATTAAAAATGTATTCCAGTCCTGATTATGGTTTTGTTTGCCTGTCAAAAAATTCGAAGGCATGTTTAGAATGTCGGAACATATAGACTAGCCAAAACAAGTGTACACTCAACTCTCGTATGTCATGCAACTCATGTCTAATTCAACTTATAAAATAACTGATCGGATTTAATATTGAATAAAGATGAAAACATAGACCAATTTATATATATTATTAAGGGATAAAATTTCATATCGAATAAAGATGAAAACATAGACCAATTTATAAGGGTTTTGATTACTCCTTTTAATAAGTTTGACCTTTTAAAATGAAATCTCAAATCTTAACATGGTATCAAAGCTGGCTAAAATCCAGCGAGCGATTCGATCCAATTAAAACTAAAAAAAATTGAGCACAAAAATTTTAATATTGGCCTGCTCAAACAAGCCACTATCTTGAAGGGGCATGTTAAGGGATAAAATTTCACATCGAATAAAAATGAAAATATAGACCAATTTATAAAAATCAATTTGGGCTACTCTTTTTAATAAGGTTGACATTTTAAGATGAAACCTCAAATCTTAATATATATAACATACAAACAACAAAAATTGGAACCATAAGGGCTGCATGCTCTAGAAATGATGAAAAGAAGTTGGCATATATATGTAACTCTTCCCACTAATTAATCTTACACCAACAACAGTTTTCATGCAATAATCACGTTCTTGATAAGTTGATTGCTGGCTGTCCCATGCTACCTTTGCTAAACTTACGAGATTCTTGCAAAAATAGCTTCATCAACAGCTTGATAAATGAAAAATAAAGCCTTCTTGTCTTTCTTGCAATTCTCCTTTAATTCATTATTTTGTTGTTGAGTAAGAGCAGCTTGATCTTTGGGTTCAACAAATCCATTCTCGACAATTTCCCATAAGTCTTGAAAACCATGTAAAAAACTTTCATTTGTCGACTCCATCGACCATAATTCTTCCCATTGAAGCGAGGAAGTTGAGGTTGCAACATAACTAGAGGTGTCAATCCGGATGGGCCACATATGAGCCCGATAACGGCTCGTGTGAAAAAAAGCCCGTCCGCTACGGGTTCCGAGCCGGTTCCGGGTCGACCCACAAATTTTGGATTACAACACAGGCCCGCCCGCTGACCCATCCGGGTCGCAGGTCGTGGGTAATGGGTCGCAGGTCGCGGATGAAAATAGGATTTTGAGAAGAAGAATCGCGAAAATCCATAATATAGTAGGATTAAAAAGTTTAGTAGTAACTAGTGAGAACTGAGAAAAAAGAAATATAATCAAGATGATGATGATATTTGCAATTGAATAATTGTAATTGTAGTAAGGTAGTAACAAGTATGAACTATGAAGTATAAATGTATAATAACTAATGAGAGGGTATTGTAAAAATAATCTCCCCCCTTTTTTTAATTTTTGTTTTATTTT